CACACCAAGGAGTTTGAGGTTAGCCATATTGATATACATATTTATTGTAGTGAAGAGTCTAATGCTACTTCCAACAAGGTTGCCTTAAACGTTCAACGCTCCTGGGGAGCGGGAATAGAAAGAGACGGAGCGATAGTAAATGAATGGATCAATTGTGAATTGTGAGCAATATTTATTAAGTTTGTCTTAAAGAAACAATATGAGTTCACTATAAATTGATATTTATACAAGTTTTTATTTTTCACTTCTTCCGTACGGAGGGACTCCATGTTTTTTATTTATAAATTCCTTCGATAATTTCTAGGTCAATGTTTGTAATATAAACCATTATTGTGTACTTTATCATCTTATATTATCTTATGTAATTGATGTGTTTGTGAAGTGTGAGTAAATATCCTACTTTGAAAATTGTCTACAGAAAGTTCTAAAGGACAGTGTATCGAGTTGTCTCGTGGACACGGCGAGTGAGTCTATCGGCCACGTGGGTATTTGGGATAGACCAAAGAGGGCTGGCACTGCAAGCAACGCCGCGGGCGGAGCGTATATGATAGATCTTCAGAACCATGTAGTACTGAACAGAACATTAAGGTATATAAACACGTCATTTTTATTACACTTAAAATATAATAATGATAAAAGAATTGGGTGGTTATGAATGATTTCGCCTGTCTTCTGTTTTATTTGCTGTAAAGGTAGCTAGCAGCAATTGCATTCTTTCTGTCTTTAAAAAAAAACATTAGTTACAGTTATAAATATGCAACATACGCATTACGCAATAATGTTTTAATAATTGAATTCCCTTTTACAGGAATACGAATACCAGCTCGAACAGCCTTGTCAATTAATACAAGTGAACAGCCTCCTGGCAAAGATTCCGAGTCTGCTGAACAAAGCTCGAACATTTTGTAAGGACAGCATCGCTAACACGGGCTACCCCGCGCTACTATATGCTTGGACGACCTTGTAGCCTTGGTTATAGAGACAAGTGAACATTTAGGATCTTTGGAGGTAATTCTTTTTTTAAATTCTATGTATAACGAATATTTATTTTATACACGTAAAATTGTTTCAATTTCTATATTGGTTCTTATATAAATGTGAATTGTCATTTCTATTTCATTTAGATAATTTCTAAAAATTTGACTTATATCCGAAAAAATGTCTTCTGTTACTGCTAAGATTGTAACAAATACAAAACATTTTAATAATAATACTCTATATTGTAGGTGGATTCAACATTGCCGAAGGACAAACAAAAATCTCAAGCCAAAAACATAACGCAGCAGAAGCGTAAAGCTCTATCGGATCTGTTCAAATATTTGAACAAAATCGGCTTGAATTATCGCACGGGTCTCGTTATACATGTATGATTTCACAATACTACCCGTCGATTGGGATGCCGCTATGAGCGATTTGAAAAGCAGGTATTTACAACTATATAACAAAAGCATTCGACGTTGTCCATGTTTTTGTGTGATCACAAATATTTTGTTTTGTGATCACCAATATTTTGTTATTTGTAAAGTATATATTTCTATTTCTTTTTGCTATAAGTGTATTGTTAAAAGTGTAACGGTTATATGATATAATAGAAATAGAAATTAAATCCGCATTACAGGGTGACTGGTGAATTACTATCAATATTTAAGGAGCATACTCGGTACATGATTCTCATTCGGATTATGTATAAAAAATAGGCACTTAATTTTTGACAAAATTTCCGTATAAATAAGTAAAGTGTTGACACGTTCCAAATGTTCAAGTGTGGACGCGTGCGGCGGCGTGCTGATACAACAACACGTCACGACACGCGTATGTGTGAGTGTGTGTGTATACCTAATCTGTAGGGTGTTCACACGATGCGTAATTAATTAGATAACTTTTGGTTAACTTTACTTAGACATTTATTAATATTTATGTTTTATTAATTTTTATTTTGTCATATATGATCGTCAAATATCACGTCCTCAAATATCGATAGTAATTCACCAGTCACCCTGTATATTGATATTCCATGACATTATAAATAGTGTTAAATAATAATTTGTGCTAAAATTTTAAGTATATACATTTTATTTCCAGAAATATGCTAAAACTCAGAAGAAGTCGATTTCGCGTTATACGAAACATATTTTCGATTTACGAACCGTAGCTACAAGTTAGAAATACCGTTAGAAATAGACTCTACAGGATGTAATATAACTTCGCTTGAAGAAATACTCAATGTGTTAGTGGAATGCTACGCTCATACGAGCATTCTTCTAGAACAATTCAATGTCGTTCTGAAGTCTGTTCCGGAAAAACATTTGAATACTGATTCTGAGCCAGATTTCGACAAAGTGCTATCAAACTCACCTTTGGCTGATTGTTTCAAGGATAGCGATGAATGGAAGTCTCTTAATAAAAAAATTAAGTCAATTATATCTCTAGTTGATAAACAAAAGGCACTGTTAAACAAATTATCTCGAAACCTAAAACAAATCGAAGAATCCATTAAGTTACCTCTAGTTTCTCAAAGTCATATAGAAGTTAAGAATAATTTGGACGTTATAATAGAAAAAAGTGAGGAAATTATTACCGAATATGAGTTTGTTTTCAAAACGACGGTCATAGAAGACTTCCACCGCATCATCCAATACTAAGAAGCCTTGAAAATATGGTGGCTTACATTAAAGATATAAAAACAGAACTTGATAAATTGGATGAACCGATAGACCAAGAAATGGATGAAACTGACGGCACAATGTTAGAGCAGACTGAAGATGTTGTGGCTACGATGTTACTCGTGATACAATCGTTGTACAAAAAACATCTGCCGCCAGAGAAACAAGCGGAGAATATGGACGTTATAAACGCTATTGATGAAATTATACATGAAGGTGTAAAAGTTGAAACCAAAGAAATTTTAAAAGATAATCATTTAAAAGAATTACTCCAAGAGAACATGTCCACTGATTCAAGAAATTGCGCGAACTTTTGATTAACTATGTGCAATATATTGCGACTCGGTCTGGTGTGGAAGAAGCTAGAACTGTTGTTATGAGATTGGTCCCGATATTGGAGCAAGTTATACTATTTGTCCAATATTTTGTATCCCAAAAAGTTGCTGTGCATAGAGTATCCTGTAAAATGCTGTTAGTGCTTTTGAAGATTTTATTGGATCTGGCATCGAAAGGGTAATTATATCGATATAATTTAGATTAAATATACCACAATGTTAAAATGAATAAGTTGGGATTGCATTTAAATATAAAACTTTATAAATATCTAAAGTACAGAAAATTAATAAAATATTATAAAAACTTTCATTTATTGCCACAAATTAGATAATTTCAATAAGTTGTTCCACTGAAGCTTTTTAATTCAGATTGTACTTACGATTATCCTTAAATAAGTTATTGTTTAAGAATGTTTTAGTCAAGTAATAAATTGAAACTTCCTTTATTTCCTTACAGTTTCTGCCAACACTCAGAACTAGATTCAGAGGAGGGTGAGGGAGAAGGCACTACTGGAGACAGCGGTATGGGACTTGGTGAGGGAGAGGGACAGAAAGATGTCTCTGAACGCGAAGAAAACCAGGTGTGGGAAAGGGATAGATAGAATTATGTTCCCGAAACGAAAGATCATTGACTTTAGCGCTGTAGACAAAATTTATTACACACAAAAAAAATATTGTTTTTGTTTTCAAAGGATCAATTGGACGACGCGCATGAACCGGGTGAAGAAAAGAACGAACAAGATAAAGATTGCAAGGAAGAAGAGAAGGAGTCAATATGACTGACGACTTTGATTCACAAGACGTCGAACAGAAAGGTTAATAATATAGTCATATAAAAAAAGTTTTAAACATATAAAATAGGGTTGTAAATTAAATAAATGTCCTTTTAAATTCCAGAACAATCAGATGAAGAAAATGATGATGACGATGCCGATAAACAAATGGGAGATACAGATAATGCTGCCGAAAAGTAAGTGAATATCATCATTATTTTTGCCACACATTACAATAATTATTGTAAAATGTGATCTTTAATGTCGAATATTTTTTAATATGTTTTTAGTCACATGTAAAATTGAAAGCAGAACCAATTTATTTGAAATTGACTAATATTGTTAAATTGTCATAATTGTTATATGTTTCATACTTATATAGTAACTCAAAATCTCCAGGCCATATCGGACAACCAGATCCTGATAGTGATTCTTTGTAGCTGTTATTATATGTTTCATACTTATATAGTAAGTCAAAATCTCCAGGCCATATCGGACAACCAGATCCTGATAGTGATTCTTTGTAGCTGTTATTATATGTTTCATACTTATATAGTAAGTCAAAATCTCCAGGCCATATCGGACAACCAGATCCTGATAGTGATTCTTTGTAGCTGTTATTATATGTTTCATACTTATATAGTAACTCAAAATCTCCAGGCCATATCGGACAACCAGATCCTGATAGTGATTCTTTGTAGCTGTTATTATATGTTTCATACTTATATAGTAACTCAAAATCTCCAGGCCATATCGGACAACCAGATCCTGATAGTGATTCTTTGTAGCTGTTATTATATGTTTCATACTTATATAGTAACTCAAAATCTCCAGGCCATATCGGACAACCAGATCCTGATAGTGATTCTTTGTAGCTGTTATTATATGTTTCATACTTATATAGTAACTCAAAATCTCCAGGCCATATCGGACAACCAGATCCTGATAGTGATTCTTTGTAGCTGTTATTATATGTTTCATACTTATATAGTAACTCAAAATCTCCAGGCCATATCGGACAACCAGATCCTGATAGTGATTCTTTGTAGCTGTTATTATATGTTTCATACTTATATAGTAACTCAAAATCTCCAGGCCATATCGGACAACCAGATCCTGATAGTGATTCTTTGTAGCTGTTATTATATGTTTCATACTTATATAGTAAGTCAAAATCTCCAGGCCATATCGGACAACCAGATCCTGATAGTGATTCTTTGTAGCTGTTATTATACATATGTTTCATACTTATATAGTAACTCAAAATCTCCAGGCCATATCGGACAACCAGATCCTGATAGTGATTCTTTGTAGCTGTTATTATATGTTTCATACTTATATAGTAACTCAAAATCTCCAGGCCATATCGGACAACCAGATCCTGATAGTGATTCTTTGTAGCTGTTATTATATGTTTCATACTTATATAGTAACTCAAAATCTCCAGGCCATATCGGACAACCAGATCCTGATAGTGATTCTTTGTAGCTGTTATTATATGTTTCATACTTATATAGTAACTCAAAATCTCCAGGCCATATCGGACAACCAGATCCTGATAGTGATTCTTTGTAGCTGTTATTATATGTTTCATACTTATATAGTAACTCAAAATCTCCAGGCCATATCGGACAACCAGATCCTGATAGTGATTCTTTGTAGCTGTTATTATATGTTTCATACTTATATAGTAACTCAAAATCTCCAGGCCATATCGGACAACCAGTTCCTGATAGTGATTCTTTGTAGCTGTTATTATATGTTTCATACTTATATAGTAAGTCAAAATCTCCAGGCCATATCGGACAACCAGATCCTGATAGTGATTCTTTGTAGCTGTTATTATATGTTTCATACTTATATAGTAAGTCAAAATCTCCAGGCCATATCGGACAACCAGATCCTGATAGTGATTCTTTGTAGCTGTTATTATATGTTTCATACTTATATAGTAACTCAAAATCTCCAGGCCATATCGGACAACCAGATCCTGATAGTGATTCTTTGTAGCTGTTATTATATGTTTCATACTTATATAGTAACTCAAAATCTCCAGGCCATATCGGACAACCAGATCCTGATAGTGATTCTTTGTAGCTGTTATTATATGTTTCATACTTATATAGTAACTCAAAATCTCCAGGCCATATCGGACAACCAGATCCTGATAGTGATTCTTTGTAGCTGTTATTATATGTTTCATACTTATATAGTAACTCAAAATCTCCAGGCCATATCGGACAACCAGATCCTGATAGTGTTTCTTTGTAGCTGTTATTATATGTTTCATACTTATACAGGGTGACTGGTGAATTACTATCGATACTTGAGGACGTGATATTTGACGATCATATATGACAAAAGAAAAATTAATATAACATAAATATTAATAAACTTCTAAGTAAAGTTAACCAAAAGTTATGTAATTAATTACGCATCGTGTGAACACCCTACAGATTAGGTATACACACACACACACACATACGCGAGCGGGGGCGTGGTGTTGTATCAGCACGCCGCCGCACGCGTCCACACTTGGAACACTTGGAACGTGTCAACACTTTATTTATTTATACGGAAATTTTGTCAAAAAATAAGTGCCTATTTTTTTTACATATTTCGAATGAGAATCATGTACCGAGTATTCTCCTTAAATATTGATAGTAACTCACCAGTCACCCTGTATAGTAACTCAAAATCTCCAGGCCATATCGGACAACCAGATCCTGATAGTGATTCTTTGTAGCTGTTATTATATGTTTCATACTTATATAGTAACTCAAAATCTCCAGGCCATATCGGACAACCAGATCCTGATAGTGATTCTTTGTAGCTGTTATTATATGTTTCATACTTATATAGTAACTCAAAATCTCCAGACCATATCGGACAACCAGATCCTGATAGTGATTCTTTGTAGCTGTTATTATATGTTTCATACTTATATAGTAACTCAAAATCTCCAGGCCATATCGGACAACCAGATCCTGATAGTGATTCTTTGTAGCTGTTATTATATGTTTCATACTTATATAGTAACTCAAAATCTCCAGGCCATATCGGACAACCAGATCCTGATAGTGATTCTTTGTAGCTGTTATTATATGTTTCATACTTATATAGTAACTCAAAATCTCCAGGCCATATCGGACAACCAGATCCTGATAGTGATTCTTTGTAGCTGTTATTATATGTTTCATACTTATATAGTAACTCAAAATCTCCAGGCCATATCGGACAACCAGATCCTGATAGTGATTCTTTGTAGCTGTTATTATATGTTTCATACTTATATAGTAACTCAAAATCTCCAGGCCATATCGGACAACCAGATCCTGATAGTGATTCTTTGTAGCTGTTATTATATGTTTCATACTTATATAGTAACTCAAAATCTCCAGGCCATATCGGACAACCAGATCCTGATAGTGATTCTTTGTAGCTGTTATTATATGTTTCATACTTATATAGTAACTCAAAATCTCCAGGCCATATCGGACAACCAGATCCTGATAGTGATTCTTTGTAGCTGTTATTATATGTTTCATACTTATATAGTAACTCAAAATCTCCAGGCCATATCGGACAACCAGATCCTGATAGTGATTCTTTGTAGCTGTTATTATATGTTTCATACTTATATAGTAACTCAAAATCTCCAGGCCATATCGGACAACCAGTTCCTGATAGTGATTCTTTGTAGCTGTTATTATACATATGTTTCATACTTATATAGTAACTCAAAATCTCCAGGCCATATCGGACAACCAGATCCTGATAGTGATTCTTTGTAGCTGTTATTATATGTTTCATACTTATATAGTAACTCAAAATCTCCAGGCCATATCGGACAACCAGTTCCTGATAGTGATTCTTTGTAGCTGTTATTATACATATGTTTCATACTTATATAGTAACTCAAAATCTCCAGGCCATATCGGACAACCAGATCCTGATAGTGATTCTTTGTAGCTGTTATTATATGTTTCATACTTATATAGTAACTCAAAATCTCCAGGCCATATCGGACAACCAGATCCTGATAGTGATTCTTTGTAGCTGTTATTATATGTTTCATACTTATATAGTAACTCAAAATCTCCAGGCCATATCGGACAACCAGATCCTGATAGTGATTCTTTGTAGCTGTTATTATATGTTTCATACTTATATAGTAACTCAAAATCTCCAGGCCATATCGGACAACCAGATCCTGATAGTGATTCTTTGTAGCTGTTATTATATGTTTCATACTTATATAGTAACTCAAAATCTCCAGGCCATATCGGACAACCAGATCCTGATAGTGATTCTTTGTAGCTGTTATTATATGTTTCATACTTATATAGTAACTCAAAATCTCCAGGCCATATCGGACAACCAGATCCTGATAGTGATTCTTTGTAGCTGTTATTATATGTTTCATACTTATATAGTAACTCAAAATCTCCAGGCCATATTGGACAACCAGATCCTGATAGTGATTCTTTGTAGCTGTTATTATATGTTTCATACTTATATAGTAACTCAAAATCTCCAGGCCATATCGGACAACCAGATCCTGATAGTGATTCTTTGTAGCTGTTATTATATGTTTCATACTTATATAGTAACTCAAAATCTCCAGGCCATATTGGACAACCAGATCCTGATAGTGATTCTTTGTAGCTGTTATTATATGTTTCATACTTATATAGTAACTCAAAATCTCCAGGCCATATCGGACAACCAGATCCTGATAGTGATTCTTTGTAGCTGTTATTATATGTTTCATACTTATATAGTAACTCAAAATCTCCAGGCCATATCGGACAACCAGATCCTGATAGTGATTCTTTGTAGCTGTTATTATATGTTTCATACTTATATAGTAACTCAAAATCTCCAGGCCATATCGGACAACCAGATCCTGATAGTGATTCTTTGTAGCTGTTATTATATGTTTCATACTTATATAGTAACTCAAAATCTCCAGGCCATATCGGACAACCAGATCCTGATAGTGATTCTTTGTAGCTGTTATTATATGTTTCATACTTATATAGTAACTCAAAATCTCCAGGCCATATCGGACAACCAGATCCTGATAGTGATTCTTTGTAGCTGTTATTATATGTTTCATACTTATATAGTAACTCAAAATCTCCAGGCCATATCGGACAACAACAACAAAGTCGGTTAGCAAGAGTTAGAACGTTCAATATATATGTACATATGTTAAGAAAGATATTAGATGCCTTTATTTTCATTATTGTATAAGTAAGATTCTATAAGCTGTTTTAAAAACACAGTATAGTTAAATTGCATTTGTATGAACGTTACAGCTCTAGTTAACCACTCTGTATAATATTAAGTAATTTTGTGTAATATAAATAAAGGAAATATACCTCTGTGGAATTCTTGCTACATATTTAGCTATTGCAATATATAGGGTGTCTCACGGAAAATTTCGAATTTAAAAAGGCTATAAAAAAAGAACGACTCGATAGATTTCAATGATCAAACATTTATTTGAAAGCATAATTCATGACATTATTTGTGAAAAATTATCTCGGTCAAATGTCCACCACAGCTTACTTGGCAGTACCCTATTCGATCAGTCCAATTTTTCAGTACATTTTCAATTGTTTCCGGCCTTATGGCAGCAATGGCAACTTCAATTTCATGTTTCAAGTCATCAATCGTGCTTGGCTTGTTGGCGTAACAAACGTCTTTGACCGCTCCCCAAAGGTAATAATCCAATGGTGTTAAATCGCAGCTTCTTGGAGGCCAATTCACATCACCATTTTTGCTGATTATGCGATTTTCGAAGATTGGGCGCAAAACATCGACCGTAGCATGGGCTGTATGGCACGTAGCCCCGTCCTGTTGAAACCAAATATCGTCCAAATCATACTCTTCCATTTGACCGAAAAAACCAATCAGTTAACATAGCGCGGTAGCGCTCGCCGTTGACGGTTACGGCGGCTCCTTCATCATTTTCAAAAAAAAATGGGCCGATGATGCCGCCGGACCAAAATCCGCACCAAACAGTCACTCGTTGTGGATGTATCGGTTTCTCCTCAACGACGTGCGGGTTTTCTGTGCCCCATATACGGCAGTTTTGTTTATTTACATAACCGCCGAGGTGAAAATGAGCCTCGTCGGAAAAGATGATTTTTCGATAAAACTCACCATCTTCGGCCAAACGATCTTCCGCCCAATTTGCGAACCGTAGACGTTTCGGATGATCAATTGGCTTCAGCTGTTGGGCCAACTGAACTTTATATGGCTTCAGGGCAAGATCTTTGCGCAAAATTCGGTGCGTAGTTGACCGAGAAAGGTGCAACTCTTGCGCTCGATGACGAATCGATGTGGATGGCCGTTCACGAACACTTTGTTCCACCGCAGCGATGTTTTCGGTTGACCTTGCTGGAAATGGACGTTTACGTGTTGTTTTATCCAACAGTGATCCAGTTTCGCGCACACGATTCACAAATTGCCGCACATATGCCTCCGATGGCAAATCTTTTTTGGCAAATATTTTTTTCAAATTTCGCACAGTTTGCGTTGGCGATTCACCACTTTGGAAATAATTTTTTAATATTTCCCAGCTTTCCTCAAGCGAATAGCGACCCATTTCGTAAATGTCAGACTTATTACTAAATATGTGACACTTCTCCGATGACAGTTGACGTCTCCAATGTCAAATTATCGTTAGTTCAAATTCGAAACGCTAGATGGGACACCCGTTATTTAAACTATTTCAATTTTCAAATTTCAGACCAAATATGAAATTTACCATATAAAACTATTTACAATAAAGTCCCGGATAATATTCTAGTTGCCAACCAAATATGTATTAATACGTTTATGCATATTTATATTTTTATGACACTTAATGCTAAGGTTTATCAAAAACATTTGATTTGTCTGTATTTATATAATCTTCTAAACCTGGTGTCTTCTTTCTTAAATCATAGTATGGAACTATTAGTGACCTTTACGAAGCAGGGATTATATTACAAAAGTGGTCGTCAAGTTCAATGCAAAAGAAATTGTTCAGCATTTAGATTGATTTTTTTAACTTGCACACATTTGGGCTACTTTAAGAAAGATTGTCATATGGAAATTATTTTCAATCGCAGGGCATTTATTAAGTGCTAAAACTAAAATTCAGAGAAATGAGGAACAATCTATGTATGTACATATATAAAAATTTTAATACCTTTTTTCCCTTGGTCACGGCATCACGCGTGAATTGCTGGACCGATTTCACTGATTCTTTTTTTTGTTGTATAATGTATTTGTTATTGATAGGAGAAGGTTCTTATGTAATAAAAAAATACGAAAATTACTAGAAAAGAAAATAACTACAATGTTTCACTTTTATGTTAAAATAATATGTCACTGGCGGTAATATCACGTAGTTAGAATAAAGTATTAGAATAATAAACACTTTGTTTTTGGAATAATGTTTATATGTATTAATATACCAATAAGAATCCAATAATCACAGTAAGAAGACAGACCATTGTCTGTCGGGTCAGTTATACTTAATAAAGAAATTAGTTTTTATTCAGATAAAAGGTAACAGATATAGGGTTCGCCGGGTCAGCTAGTTATTAATAAAGCGAATTTTCAAAAGGAACATAATTTAATTGGATAATTATGAATTATAGGTTTCTCACAAATATATTGAATTTTTGTCTACACTGTGAATTTTGTTGTCATATAGTTTTGGTGAAATTTACAAATGTACATGTTAAGTACATGACATGTACATATATTTCAAATTGTATAAAAAACAATGAAATCAAATGATATTGTCAATTAAATGAAACTAATATTTTCGGATTTACTACGCGTTTTTATTTTTGACTATAAACTTCATACTCCCGACGTTTTGGCTACTTTACAGCAACCGTGATCACGGGCAGATTAGATGTGATATAGTCAATTGTTGAATTGCAATTATTAAAACTTATTATAAGTAAAATATTTGTATATATCGGATTTATTACAAATTCATTGTTTTCAAAGAGAGAGAGAGAGAGTCATTAAAGCTGATAGCGCCGATAAGGCCATTCTGACAGGCGGTGCGTGCTCTGCACCTGCCTGGTGATGTATTCCCTCTTGGTTGGTGTTCGTTACGTTCTTGGACCAGTCCCCCGTCTCGTAGAGTAGATGGGGCAGGATCAAGAATTGATGCCTCATCTTCCGAAGTCATGCCGATACGGTCATACCGGTGTTTGCTCTGCATTGTTTTCTGTGATAACAGAGAAATACTTTTCTAGTCTAGGTACTTCCACAGTAAACCTAGGTAACTTTATATTGTTACAATTATGGATATCAAATTTGTTGTGGTCATATGGGTGACGTTGTTTACTACGACACATCGTCAGATGGTCATAATATCACGTCCAATTATCTAAGATACTTAAGATGTCCTCAAGCTCATGAATATTAATTAAATACAAACAATTAACCCTAACAATTATAATGTTACCAAAAGTATATATTTGCGTTTTATTCTTTTTATATTAAAATACAAGATCAATAAATTGTAAAGATATGAGTGTTTTAAAAATATTATTACATTCCACGTCTGATACGCTTATAAGTTATAGCCATCTCTTAAAGTGAATTTTATTATAGAATGGAATTTAGAAAACTTATTTAAATATATAAATATGTAATTAATTATTATTTGAAAATATTAAAATAAATTTTAATTTCAAATTCCTTAATAACAATTTCATTTCGGTCATAACAGAAATTTCATTTTCCTTACAGTATTCAGTCAACTTCTAAATAATATTCTTTATTAAAAATCTCTAACAAAAAAAAGTAATATTGTTTGAAACCGTTATTAAATTAAATAAAAAAAAATGTTTTTCACTTAAATGAACTTGAATACAAATCATCAAAAATTTATGCTATTTTAAATTAAATATTACATGTACTATAGAAATATATTTTGCGAATATTGCTCAGAAATAACATGAAAATTTTATAAGAGAGCAGTAGATATTACTTAAAACAACATATAATTTTATATACTTTGATGCTTTTCATGAGTTATCAAGTATTTTTCGCTCATTTTGCTGTTTTGAACAAAGTTTAGTGTATCATATCAAACCCGACGAGTTCGTTTCAGTATGCATAAATATGTAACTTTACCTTTTAGTATTGCAAATGTTACTCATTTCATTATTAGAAATCCTTGTTAAACTAAGGACCATATCTAATTTAAATTCATAAAAATAATGCCCCATCTTTGCTACTTCGTCGTTCTAAATGAAAACAGTTCTTTTATTTGTGGAACAAAACTTTAATCATAATATTTATACCTACCTTATACTATTTTGTAACTAATTTGAAAACATTATTAAAATTTTAAGTAAACGTTACATCTGGAAATGTGACTGGAAATGACATTTAAAATATTGCGTTTTACGTCACAGCTTATATTAGCTACAGATATTAAACTATGTATCTTAATCTGTCAAGAAGTATTAATTTTAAACTCAGTTCTTAATGTTACTAATGGATTTGATTTAACAAATTTAGGTAAGAAATAAGTGTCCGTAATCGTTACTAGAGGCTTATGAATGATTAATTATTATTACATATATTCAAAAATGTCTGCGGCAAGGAGAATGATCTACTTTGGGGCGGTCAAATTTATGCTCCGTTTATATCTCATATTTGACGCTGGCAATATAAAACCTATTTGGATGTTCCCGTTGACCCAGTATTATGAATTTGGCAGGCAGCTGTCAAGAGAGAAAAGAATAAAAAACTTTACGACCTCCCACACTTTCATTGAAATGATTCCGTATTAAGTTTAAAATTATATATATCATTAGATAAACGCCTTTATTCCGTTTGAAAGACACCTTCTACAAACAGTTTTCAAGATTATGATTCGTTCAACAAATAAAAACGTTGATATTGGAGAAATATTTAACAATTCCAATGAGTAGAAGTCATAGCGTAAGAAAAAACATATTTAGGAACAATTGTCACTACAAAAAGATCGGGGACAGTTGTAATAGCATCTGGCTTGAAATCGAATTGCAATTTATTGCTTTCAAGTCCACCTATAAATATAATATTCTGTTTGACTATAAGACAATTTGGGAACTAAGGAACTAAATCTAAATTCAATTTGGCTTAAGAAACATACTTAACAACATTCTCTGACTTGAAATAGAATCTCTCATAATGTTATGGATAGGGTTAAACTAACCTATCTGTTTACAAACAAAACTTAATAATAAAATAATGGATAAAATTAATTTGAATCCTTCTTTGTTGAAATCTTATTGGTTTGTTTTAAGACAATATTTGTGAATTTGTGAAAAATTTACTTATAATTTAGATACATTTTATCGAAAAACAAACAAAGTTATTTTAGCGTAAATAAACAATGGACTTAAAACTTTCAAAGTAAAATTTCTTTAAAGTAAATAAACTTCTTATTACATAATTTGTCTGCTGCGGTCTTTATGTTAATTTCGGTAAATTCTCTACTGGCTTAATACATATAACAAGGTATAAAGCATTTTAAGAATTCAGATTGTAAAACGGACAACATCCTGTACATTTATATTGCTCCAACAAAGAAGTTTCAACTAATTAGTAACGTAACTGAACAACATCTAGAAAAACAGATTGCATTTTTTAGTACCTGACGAGTTCGTTTTATTCTATTCTGGATAGGACGAAATATTCCTATCACGCCTAACAAACGCGAATCGATTGATGAATCGATTTCTAAAAAAAAGCTAAGAACACTCAACGGATATACCTTTCAAACAAAAAAACCGCATTAAAATCGGCTCATCCGTTTGGGAGCTACGTTACATCAGACAGAAATATACACACACACACACACACAGACACATAGACACGTCAAACTTATAACCCTGTAGTTTTTGCGTCGGGGATTAAAAACACAACAGTAATGAATAAAGTTAGTAATGAATTTTGTATTATTTTCCAGACAAATCTACAAAGACCTATCATGCCTAGTGGATGTATGTCAGCAGGCTGTAACGTTAGATCGTCTCGTGCACTACGCATTAAGAAGGGAGCTACGTACTATGAAAGATGTCATGCAGTTCGCGGCTCATCTACGGTTGTATGTGATACAGGAGAGCGAAATAGTGGCTGATAGAATCGTGAGTATATGTGTTTTATAAGGCAGCCCTACTAGGGCTACTACCTACTAAATGACTTGGGCCTGTCCAGAACTCACATTAACTCATTCCTGGATCGTACTTCGAAGGCAGTCCTTGTAGGTTCTTTTCAAATTTGGTTAGGTAGAGAGAGGAGCTTGGACAGTGGAGGTGAGCGTTTAACGCGCGTTAGATAGGGACCCTTTAAACCTACATCTGAGTCGCAAGTCACAGACACTGTTGAAGCTCCTCTCACTACAACGATGGACCTGGCACCCGCACGGTAAATACATTGAATTCTAAAGAGGTTTTGTCTGCATATAGTTTGTATTGTGTTCATTATTAATTGATTCATCCAAATTCATAATTTGGATAAACACTTTATTTTTAATAAGGATTATCATATAAAAGCATAGGTATAATTTGTTTTAGGATCAATCTAAAACGGTTTAGTGCTGCCATCTAGTTAAACTTAACCACATATATAGTAAAGTATGTCAAGATTTTATTTTATAAAAATTAATTAAAAGAATTATAATTTTATTTGGACCTACTTTCTTAAATTTCTGATATGTTTTTAAGTTTTTTGAATAATTCTGATGCATGATTTTAATTTTTTGCATATTTATTTTCTTGACATATAAGTATGTAATTTATAATTTTTCAGAAATCAATGACTGATATATGCAAAGAACAGGAAAATGTTGAAAGAAATCTACAAAAACTAAACATTTTAGTACAAAGTTTGTCTTCAATACTTGGAGTAAATAGTACAGATGTGTTGTTATATGTTAAGACTTATAATGAATTGATGAGTAGAGGCAGCCAGTTGAAAGAAAATATAACTGAGGAATATAAAAGAAAGGAAAATGAATTGATGCAATAGTAAGTATGATTTGAGTGTAATTTATAATATATTAATATTTTTTTTGTCTTAGTACAAAAGGAATTATTTTAAACCTACGTACAATTATTTATCAATATATTATATAAAAATTATTTAATGACACAATGTTAGAAAAGTTCTTGAAAATAATTATTACGTTTTCCTATAACCACAAAAAACAATATAAATAGCCATTAACTAAAATATTTTATGATAATTAGTAAGTTGCCCCCCTTGCTGGCCGTAATGCTACATGCGATAGGGTAACAGAAATGTTCTACTTCAATTAGAATATAATAATTAACTTTCCAAAATAGTGAATTTAGTTAAAAATTCGTTAATTACGGTTCTACCAATATGATAGACTTCATAGACTTTTTTAAAAGTCAATACAATGCAGGACTTTTAGTGTGAACTAATTGAATGAGTAAACTTATTTATTAACACTCAACATACCTAGTATTAATAAACATATTAATAGCTAATACAACTGCTACTTCAAAGTTTCCTATATATATAAATACAATAAATTTTCAGTAAGAATTCATCGGCCCACCTAAGATCCAACGTACATGATGGTTGTACAAAACAACCAAACTGTAACAACACAGTCATCTCAGCCATGAGACACCGACTGATACAAGACAGAGATGTTGTGGATGAAAGGATCGTTGAAACAAGCGTTATGTTCAATGATATTAAGGTAATGAAAGATACTTACCTAAGAATCTACTTAGGTAACTTCTAGTAAATTAGAAAGTTACTTAGGTAACTAGTATTTACTATCAATATATTAAGATTATGGTGTCATAAAGTGATCACATTGTGAATTTTAATAATAATATTTGAATGAAACTATTATTTTTCCGATTACTACGAGTATTTTATTATTTTTAATGGTCGAAAAGATGTTTACCGTTATCACGGTTGGTGAAAAGTAAAAGTAACGTCGAGAATATGTAGTTTTTTAAAAATAATATAATAACGCTTATGTAGTAATCAGAAAATTAAATTTACATGACAGAAATACTTGATTGATGGTTTTTTGACTTAACTGCACCTTGTCATAAGATACGAATTTCCTTAGCCTGACTTGCAATCAACGTTCAGAATTTTATGATAGCTAATCATTATTTGCCCTCATCCAGTTCAGAATTCAAACCTCTAAACTTCATATTATTGTTAGCTTAA